CCCGCCAAAGCCCAGACTGTCACGCTGGCCCGCCCCACCTCATAGCCGCGTCGTTTCCCACTGCCCAGTCTTAGGCGCATTTGCCAGCGAGCCCGAGTCTGGCGGAGGGGTGTGCACCGGGCAGGCCAGGCCCAATCTCCGGAGTCAGAGCTGCGGCACCAACCTCGTGGACTCGTCTCCGGCCAGGCTCCCAGCTCTCTGCCTCTGGTCACTGCCATCCCAGCCTGGAGGCAAGACCTTTCTGCAACTCTGCCGTGGGAGGCCTGCATAGACTCGTGAGGCTCAGCGGTCCTTGTGGACGGAGCACTATCTCCTCGCAGGGAGCAGCTGCGCCGCTCAGCGGGCTCATGCAGCAGCCAGGGGTTGGGGGGCAGCTGAAGCAGCTCCCACCCATCTCAACAAAAGCTTCTGAGCCTTCTGTGCCAAGCAGGCCGGCTCCTGACATCTGCCCAGAGAAGCAGGCCAGGGGCCGACTGGTCTCTCCTGGGTAGGCTGGATCTTGCCCAGCCCCACTCCATCCTGCACCCCATTGACGCTTAGTGGCCGGGAAAGGCCACAGGGGACACACGTGCCGTTTGTCAGGGGGCAGCTGGGTGGCCGCTTCCTTCCGGGCTGTGCAGCCCTCTTCGCATGCAGTCAGCGACTCAGGCATTGCACCCAATGCCTTGCCAGGCCCCGCTGGGCTGCCCAGAACTGGGGAGAGCTGCTGTCACCCAGAGGTTGGGGTGACAGGAAGGGGAGGAAGGCACGAGGGCCGGGGAGTAGGGAAGCTCCTGAGCATGGCCAGGCCTGCCTCGGGCCTCCCAGAGGCCAGCGGGTGTGCGGAGGTGAAGGTCACTTGGGAGCAGCCAGCACTCAGGCTTCTGCCCGCCAGCAGGGGGTGACCAGGCCAGGCCTGCAGCCCAGCTTCCAGCCTGTTTGTGCCGCCAGACCTGCTCACCAGCTTCTGGGAACTAGTCTCTCGAGGCTGTCACTTGCTGCTGTGGGTCACCTCGCTAGAGATGGCAGGGCTTCAACCAGGAGTCAGATCTGCCTACAGTGTGGCCAGCAGGCTGGGTTTCGGGTCCCTGGGCCTGCAGGTGGCCATGGTCTGGTCATCCCTCCTCGGTCACCTCCCAGCTGCTCGAGACTGGTCCCCAGAAGGCTAGTTCTGCTTCTCAGTGGTTCTGAGCAACTGAGTGTCCGCTCTGTTTATCCAGTGGAGAGGCCCGAACAGATGGGAGGTTCAGGGCCAAACGGGGCTCTAGGCATGTGACCCTAAACCCCCAAATCACTCCCCCCCATGGCTGCACAGTGCTGACCAGTCTTGGGAGTCTCGGGGCACCCAGGGGCAGAAGTTCCCACCAGAGACAGACCTGCAGTGTCTCTTCCACCTGCCCTGTTATGGGGCAGTCCCCGCCAAGGACACGCTGTGTCGTGGACCGAGAAACCCCAAGTGCCCTGTGGGAGGCACTTAGAGCCAGCGTGCGAGGAGGAGCGGGGACACCAAGTCCCCCTCGGGAGGTCCACGGTCCTCGTCACCTGCTCTCCAGTCTTGCTGCGCCCAGGGTCTATGCCCGTCTGCCGCGGTCACCTCAGCTAGTCGGGATCAGATGTGCCACCAAGCACCATGAACCTAAGGTGGGAATCAATTGGGGAAGGAGCCATGCACAGTGGGGCTGCCGGCGTGGGGTGCAGAGCCGTGTCTGCACGACAAATGGTGCAGGCAACCCGCAAACACATGTGACCGAGGGCTGGCGGGCACCAGAGCCGAGTGAGGCTGGCATGTTGCGGTCATCAGTCAGGCCACAGGCCCAAGAGCAGACGGAGCAAGCGGCAGTGGAAGGGAAGGCGGCTTACGTGTGCATTCTGCCCTATGAGGTCTGTGTGACCCTGTCAGTGACCGCCAGTGGGGTGACGGGGACAGGAAACGTGAGACAAGCATGTGGGGTACGGCGCCACATCTGGTGCTGCATCAGACCCCGCAGGGCGGTGGCGCCTGCGGATGAGGCCTGGTGCAGGCTGTCCCTCGCGCCTCTGGGGGGCTGCTGTGAACTGGGTCGGTGCGGCCAGGATCCAGCAGTGTCCGAGTGGCGTTTCCCGAGAGCTGCAGGAAGGGCCTGTGCTACGCTGCTCCCAGCCGCCTCCCTCCCCCAGGCAGTTCTTCATCCCCAGCACGTCCAGGGCCCTCTCTACCCCCTGCAGTGGGCTGCTCTGCTTCCAAGCCAATGGGGGCCCAGCAGCTGGGGGGCAGCACAGGGCAGGGCTGCATTCCGGGCGGCGAGGGAGGGCCCTGCTCTGGGCGGACCGGGCGGCACCAGGAGTCGGATCCAGATGTCAGATGTGGCTCAAACACTGACGGGCACATGTTCTGTACTGGGGGTGAGGTGGGGTGGGGGATAACTATGATGGGTGGCGGGGACAGGAAAAAATTGGTCTCATATTTTACGTCAATGGCTTGAAAATTTTTATTGAACTCCAGCAAGTATCAGAAATAGAAAAATGAATTCTGCAGAATTTCACAAATAAAATTTCCAATTTCCACTAACAAATGTTCTCATTCAATGGCTAAGCAATGGTAATGCTCTGAACTCCCATCACAATGAATATGTGCTGAAATAGAAAACAGGCAGAAGAGACATTAAAATATTCCTTACAATAGCATTATTACAACATGTTTCTTTAAAATTTCAACATGGATTTTTATCACTTCAAAAGATATACAGCATTTCCATTATATTTGCAAACTTAACCTTATACATCTTTTAAAATCTTGAAAAACTCGTGTAAGCAATCTAAAAAGCACTTCGCAAAGTCGAGAAGTCTACCTCACGGAGTCCTGCCCAGCGCAGGGGAAGCTTGGTTCCGGAGAAGGCGACGTGAACGCTCAATCCCACGACACGCAGGACGCCCCGCCCTCCTCAGGGCCGAGCGGCTGCCGTTGTGCTTGGCTGCGGTGAGGGAAGCTGCAGAGACCCAGGGCCCTGGAGCACTGCACAGGACGCGCGATTCACAGCTGCTCAACTACCTTGAGGCAAGTCAGACCTTCTAGAGAAGCTCGATCCTGGGCCGCTGGGTTCAGAAGCAGGTTAGAGTGAGCTGCCCCACCTTTCCTTAACTCACAGAAGCGGGGATTCAGTTAGTGTAATGCACTGTTTGGCGTCTTTTTGGTATGCAATTATACCAATAGTACTTCTGATTTTCAGAAAGATAAAAATAGGGCATAGTCGAAATTTAAAGTGACAATGAGCACACTTAAGAGTGGTGTGTGGTAACTGAGAAACCAGAGACACAGAGAGCGTCTGTGTCATTAGTCTGCCAGAGTGAGCTTTTAAAACTCGACTTTTGCATTGTCATGTTTTGAGTAGAGGCCTGTGGCCACCGGGGGTCTATACATGGCTGTGGTGGGCCTGGTGTCCCAGGGCCCTTGTGTGGGCGAGTCCCACTAACCTCGGCTTGTCCCACTGCGCGTCTAACAGCACAACTGAGGCCTGCTTCCCTCCTGGTTAAGAGAGCTATATTACAGAAGTGACCACTGTTTCAGACCAGTCAATACGATATTCAAGTAACAAGGTGTTCAAATGGTTAAGTGGAAAAAAAAAGAAAAAAAAAACAAACAACAAACAAACAAAAAAAAAAACTGTTCCCTAACACTTTACACGTCTACACAAAATTAAATAAAACAAACTTTTAATGCATATGCAAATACAATTTATATCTTTTAGGATCTCTAAACTAAAAGTTAAACTATCATTTGCTTCATGGTACTATATTTTGCACAATAACTTATACTTAGGAGAAATTTTCCACAAAAAATATCTATATAATTATGACATTCACATTGATAATGTTTCTGAGACAGAGCTGCGGCGGCCACCGCCTCTGCCACACTGTCCGTGGGCCGCCCGCACACGCACATCTGGATGCGTGGACCCCACCGCGGCCACACGAGCCGCCCGCAAACCCACGCCTGGATATGTGGAAAGGGTCTTGGTAGATTTAAGACCGAATCCCTCTGCTTCTCAAGCAAAGTGATTTCTTGCATTGACATCATTGCAAAGACAGTGGAATGCAACAGTTTACACAGCGCTATCTGATGCGTGGCACCGCGGTCAGGGCGGCCAGGGAGACCCCTGGAGACGCCCCTTCCCCACAGAGAGCACCCAAGTTCTGAGCTGTGATGCCGCGTGCTCCAGCACGGAGACGCTGCAACGCTAAGCCCACCGGCGCCAGGCCCCAAGGAGCGGTGCTGTGTGACGCCAGGCAACAGAGCACTGCCGGGAGGCACCGACACGGACGGAGCGGACAGCAGCCAAGAGCCCGCCGCTGGGCAGCACGGGGAGGCCGGCACAGACCCGCACCTGACTCCGGAGCCTGCGCTTCCTCGGGTGCTCCCTCCCTTTCCCAGTGGGGGGACATCGGCCAGCCCTGCGGCCTTCCCGAGGCCGCCCTCGGACCCCTGCTCAGCTGTCAGACACCAGGGCAGGGACAGGTCGTCAAAGCTGGCAGAGCCCCATTTCATTCCCTTTTTGAAAGAAAGACATTCCTCCAGACTTATTAAAAAAGCGTCACTCCAACAATCTAGGTTCCTAGTTGACCCTCTTCCTAAACCCAGTCGACTTTATTTAAATATAAGAAAAAAGCAAGCAAGGTGCTTGGGGCTTAAAACACACCAAAATTTTAATTGCATATTTTAAATCTTTAAGAATTGTTTATACCTTAAAGTATCTGCATTTTTTTTATTTAATTTTTTGGTATTGAAAGCAGGAAAAACATTTAAGTCAGGCAAGAAACACAAAACCACTCCCGCAGATCGTGGGGCGGGAAGGGGCGCCTCGGGGCCCCTCTGGTGGCTCCTTGAGCACTGGGAACCCGACGTGCTCCCAGGGCGGCCAAAGGACACAGCACACCACCTAGAACCTGTCAGTTCTCATCTGGCTTCCCGAAGGAAGTACAGGACTGAAGTACAGGACTCAGCGCGGGGCGCCGGGGAGGGCACTCCCGCGGCAGCAGCCCCTCGGGGCGCCCGAGCTCCGGACACCCCGGCCCCGACCTCGGTGCTGTCATCTTTGGCGAGCAATAGCTTTAAAGAAAAATAAGACACTGAAACAGACCAAGGATCGCAAACATGGCTGCCCTAAGGAGAAGGCACCGATTCCGAATGTCCGAGCACCAGGTGCGAGTGGGAGGGCGGCACCATCCTGGGGGCACACGCTGAGGGCTGAAGGCAGAAAGGGGTGAGGCCCCGCTCCCTCGGCGTGCAGGGCGCAGGCAGAGAGGGTGGGAACGAGCGGGGCGGGGGCTGAAGCCCACTACACTTATAAAGCATGATTGTACCCTAGGTGGAGGGAAGCGCCGATCGGGGTGTTTGGCACGGTGAAAGCGACGATGCAGTCTGCCAATACCTGGTGATTTCCAAGAAACATGATTATCGCTTCGGCAGACGCCTCAGGAGAACAGGAAGCTTCCCGCGGGCAGCGGGCCCAGCCGCTGCGGGTGGCGGGAAGCAGGGCGGTGCCTTCCGCGCCCCACGCCTGTTTCGAAGCTGCTGACGGATGCGCTGACCGAGGGGCTTGGGAGCTCGAGCCGGAGATGGTCCCCGAATCCCAGAAGGTCCCCGCGCGCAGCGCCGGCACGCGGGACGAGCGAGGATTAAGGCAGATGGAGAGCACAGGACTGCAGTGGAGCCTTTTTGGTAATAGCTGCTTGTCCACAGAGATGGGATGCAGATGGCTGGGTGGCGTCCGGGATACCTGACCGCGGGGACACAGGCGCCCGCACCAAGTGCTCGAGGCGACGCTCCTCAGGAGGCAGACGCGTACCTGACATCCAGAACCGAAGCAGCCTGCGGGCACAGGAAGACCCAAGCTCAGAGACAACAAGCTGCTCACTCCGGCACATCTTGGGGGAGGCCGCGCCAGGACACCGGGGCCCGGCTCTGCCTTCTGGCTGCGCCCTCGCACGGTGGCCCTGCAGACGGCAGGGTTCTGGCGCGCTAGCTGTGCTGGGTGGAAAGGGGTGGCAGCCACCCCGTTAGTAAACAGCCCCGGTTCTGCTGGGCAGGACGCAGACCGCGAGCACAAAGCACTGTGTACTTCAGGGAGTCACTCCCTGACCAAACGCGGGCCCGCGCGCAGGCACTGGCAAGTCACCAGTCACCGTCCCGTCATGTCAGGCTACCCTAGGGACTCTGAGTAAAAAGTCAACACTCGAGGGGTGGGTATCTCAGTGGGCCCTAGCCCACTTCCGGAAGCACTTCAGTGAGGGAAGGTGGGGTGTAAATGGTGCCAGGGAGTGAACTGGGGGGTCTCAAACATGCAAAAGGTGAACTCCGCCACGTAAGCCTTGGCACATTCAAAACGTCAAGCCAACAGACCCCCGTGTTATGGGAACGCCTGGAACTTCGACACTCTGCATCTACAACACGCGCACCCGAGGGCCACGAGGAGGCCTCAGACACGCACCAGAGCCAGCCTGGCATCAGCAGCCTCCTCCCAAGCGCCCCAAGGCTGCTGGTCTGAGTATTCCTTTCTCAGAGTAACATGGAGAGCGCACCCCACGGTCACTGCAGCAGGAGGCCTGGGAGAAGCACAGAAGGGGTAGGTGCGTGTGTGCGAGAAGGGAGGAGACAGACAGATGGACTGACTGAAGAGAGAGGAGTCGGTTTCTGAGGGTATCTGCTCCGAACACTGCTCGGAAGCGTGGACAAGCACATGCACTCTCGCAATGTGGCTATCCCCCCTGCTGACCGACCCCTTCCAATGCTCCTAACCATGTCCAGGACTTCCAAGGCTAATTCGCTGCTATGGGGCGATCAGCCTGGGACAAACATCTCTGGCCACGAACAGCTTTGTTGCACCGCCTGCCAGCCACGCACCCGCTGTGTGAGAGTTTGCAGACTCACCACAGAGCTTTTCTGGCAGGAGGCTCAAAGAAGTCTCGCCTCAGGGCTTTCCCTGGGGCCTGGGTCTGACCACCCGCCAGGAGCCGTCTTGATCACTGCCAGGTACAGTCCCCAAACCAAGCCGAAGCGTTGGACCCAAGCCAGGCCAGTGTGCTCCAATTCTCTGACCGTCCCAATGCCTCAGACCCTTTCCAAAATGGCAGAATGCACCAAGGACACCCACCAGGCCACAAGGCTCAAGTCAGTGCCATCCTGTCCAGAAGGCCAGAGGAAAGAGGTGGCACAGAGAATGTGAAACAGGTCATTTCCAATCATACCCAGGGGCGTGGGGAAGATCGGTGAGAACACGCCCTTCCTCAAAGAGCTGAGCCAGGCCAGTAAGACCAGCAAAGAATTCAAAGGCAAAGTGACTGGCAACAAACTTTGCAGGGCCCTCCCTGGTGAGGGGGAGTGCGGAGCGGCTGGAGCGGGAAAAAGCCTCCGTGAGCTTCCTGCCTCAGCTCCTGTGAGCTGCCACCATCCCGGGGAGGACTCGAATGCCAGCCACCATGCTGAAGGGCCAGCCAGCCAGCAGGCCCAAAACTCATCCTTCTCTGAGCCAGGCAGCCGCAGAGCCCTCCCACTGGAGGCCCGTGCGTCAGCTGCACACGCGCAGTGAGATGACCACCCTTCTCATGGGACCGAGCTCTGGGCACTTCCAACTCACCACATTAAGTCAGAGTTCTTACTGTATTCAAGAAATATTGGTAACGTGAAATATTTTGTAGCCAAGGGTATCAGGCTGGAATTTTGTCTAGGAAATAAAATGTGGATAAAATGCACAGTGTTCAACAGTCACTGAAGTCAACATAGATCATGGTATTGAGAGTAAAAGTCAAGTAATGAACAGATGAAAACCTACACATCCCTACAGCTGCCGAGCGCCGGCCAGAGGCTGTCCTGTTCACTCACCTCGTCCTCCTCTTCAGGCAGCTTGAGCGCCCGGTCAGGGGACTTGACGGGGTTCTGGCTGCTGGGCCCATTCGCCTCTTCTTTCCCGTGCTCCGCCTCCCACTCCTGTAACACTTCATCTATGTTGAAGCGGCGCCGATAATTTACAAAAAAGTTTTTCACTTGTACCACTGATTTGTTCCCAATCACATCTGAGATTGCCTGAAAATCTCGGCCATACTTCCTGATGGCTGAAGACAGAAAAAAAAAAAGAGCATTAACACATGAGAACAGCAATTTCTGCAAAGCACCACTGAGTCTCCGGCTGCAGAGAGGAAAACACGCAGGCACGTTGCCTCTCCCACCGCGTGCCATCGACCATGGCCCTCCCAGGAATCAGGGCTCCCCTCCCCTGGGGTCCCCCAGCACGGATGTGGCTCTCCAGCCACGTTCGCAGAAGCCCTCCAGCAGGAAAAGCCTAATGGTCGGTCCACCTCTCCGTGGAATCTACTTCCTGACTACTCAGGACCTAGAAAGATGCTAATATATATGTCACACTGTCCTCCCGTTGTTCATCGATTTGCTCGAGTGGGCCCAGTAACGTCTCCATTTTGAGACTTGTTGTTACTGTGTTTTGGCATACTGAATACGTCCCGGGTAGCTTGCCAGGCTTTGCCATGCGGGTGAGATATTCTCGGTAGTTTGCCGGGCTCTCCAGAGGGCCGGAGGAATCGAACCCAGCTTGGCCGGGCTGGCTGCGTGCAAGGCAAACGCCTTACCACTGTGCTATCGCTCCAGCCCATATATATATATATATATATATGTATTTTATATATATATAATTATATATATATTCACTCCTGCAGAAAATCAGGCTTCCAGAATTTACATCCTGTGCGACAAAGGCAAGGCTGAGGGAAGGTCACATGCTGGCCACGAGGGTGCAGCGTGTCCCTCAGCCCTTAGCGAGGAGCAGGTCCCTACCTTGGACGGCGAGTAGCTGCTCTTCTGTGGTCCAGCGCGCGTTGCATTTCTGAATGACCTGTCGGCCAAACGACCCGGTTAGCATCTCCACCCACACAGGAGCCCATTCCGTGAGTGCCAAAGCTTCCTCCTCTCTGACCGGATTTTCACAACTACGGTGAAAACCCTTTAACAACATCAGCAGCGCACAGACTCTCCAAAGGGACGTGTGTGGCTCTGAGAGCAAGTTCTTCCTTCTTTCTGGCTGGCTGAGCACTGAGCAGTGGTCAGGGGTGCAGGGCCCCCAGTGATCCACCCCACCAACCCGCTCGGCTCCTGCCACGCAGCACTGCTCGGGCCAGCCGTGCTGTGGGCTAAAGGGTACACCTGCAGCGCTCAGGGCCTATGTGGTGCTGGGATCAACCTTGGGGCCTTGGTCACCAGGCCCAAGGTTACAATTTTGGAAGGGGTGGCGAGGAGGGAGGCACTTTGGGCCATAAGGCGCTGGGCTGAAACAGGACCCCTGCATGCCTCCACAGCACCAACCACGAGGTGTCCCAGCTTTCAACTCTTGGTTTGTTTGCTTCTGGGCCACACCCGGCAGTGCTCAGGGGTCACTCCTGGCTCTGCACTCAGGAATCACTCCTGGTGGTGCTTGGGGACCATATAGGATGATGGTAATTGGACCCAGGTTGGCTGAGTGCAAGGCAAACGCCCTCCCCACTGTGCTATCACTCCAGCCTCACTGCCACAGGTTTAAATTCCTAAACACAAGACTTGGGTATGATGACTAGGCCAGTCTTAACATAAACCTACCTCTGGTAGTCGGTACGGTTCTATCCCGCCATCAAGTTTTTCTTTGAGAGCACTGTTTGTCTGTTTAATATTCTGAATCTAAGAAAGGAAAGTAGTTTCATTTAAAAAATGAAAAACGTTCATAAAGGTATGAAGACCCACAAACAAAGACAACTAAAAGAACAATCTAGAGATGTGCTATCAGCCAGGCAGAGTGCGGTGTCACCCCAGGGCGAGAGCAGCCTCCGCCCCCAAGCCCAGACGCCCTCAGGACACAGCGGCTGTGCCAGGTGCCAGGGCAGCAGACGCCAATGGGGGCAGAGCCCACCGACCCACACTCGGCAGCTGGGGGCTCGCCAGGCCACCTGGCTCAGAAACAGAACACACAAGGGCAGCCAACGTCACCAACTTGGTTTTTCCATTATTTTCTCTCATGGGAAAAGAAAAAACCGAAAGCCCGGCGAGCCAGGCCAGCCGGCCGGAGCCCCCCACTGCTCACCACAGCCCTCCTTGCCCAAAGGACAGCGGGCAGGCGCCTGCCCTATGCGGCCGACCCAGGTTCCGTGCTCAGGTTCCAGGGATCCTGGGCACCACAGGAGTGACTGCTGAGAGTACAGCCAGGAGGAACCCCTGAGGAATGTTGATTGTGGCCAAGGAAAGAGGTGGGAGATTGTCCTTGGAGCTCACGGTGGGTGTCCAGGGCCGCAGGGACTCCCTCCCTGCCCCCACCCTGAAGTGCTCGTGAAGGGCAGAAACGGTTCCTGCCTGTATGAGGCCACAGCAAGAGCAAAGACCATTAACTCAAGGAGGGTCGAGCAAAAGATCAGCAAGAACCTGCATCCAAGAACATTCTAAAGGAATGAACACCAACGACCAACGGCTGCTGGTACGTCTCTTGCTACTTGAGAAAAATGAACCCCGACTCCGAGGCCAGGTCTTTGCCGCTCTCACAGATGTTATCTGAGGAGCCAGCACACAGAGAACCCCAAGGTCAGTCACCGCATCTCTGCACCCAACCTACATGGCCAGTCTCCTTTACGTGTCCAATTTAGGCCTCTCCTTACAACAATGTCAACTCTGAGCAGCAACTTGCAGAAAAATTTCTGCTCTTGGGGGCCCGAGCAATAGAGCGGACAGGGCACTTGCCAGGCATGTGCCCGGAGTAACCCCTGAACACAGTGGATATGCCCAACCCCATCTCCAAAAAGTTCTGCTCTTGGGGCCAGAACACGATGCCAGAGTTTTCCAGGTAGACGGGCCTTGTCCAGCAGGGCCGGTGCTCCTGCTCCTGCCCGCAGCCACACCAGCAGAGAAGGCGCAGCCCCGCCGGCCAACGAACGAGGAAGCTCAATGCGCCCGAAGAGCGGCACAGAAGCAGCCCAGGCAGCCCTCGGTGGCGTCAGAAAGATGGGGGTGAGGCGGTGATCGCTACCAGCTCGCTCTTATTGATCTCGGTTCTGATAATCCCACCTGCCTTTGGATTGTGACACAGTATGGAGGAATTTTTTTGTGCCCACTAAGGGGGCAGGCTGGGATGGTAGGTGGGAACCAGGGACACTGAAAGAGGTAAGGTCACATGGGTGGGCGCCAAGGATTGGCGCTGGAACATTTAATGCCTGGAACAAATGACAAATTGGAAAATCAGTGTTAAAGAACAACAAAACGCCGTCCACAGAGATTTCTGCTCTGGGCTCCCGCGAGGGGGCTGCAGCCCCACGAGGAGTGGGTTCTATGCACCGAGCTTCCAGAGGCTCGTGTCAGGGACCCCCGGGCAAAGGTGCCGAAGGGCCACAAAAGCCCAGTCCTGACCCGGGAGGCGCCTCCAGCGGAAGGCTGTCTGTGTCTGGCACTGGCTTCGGCGAGGCGCTCCTCAAGCGAGAGGCAGCTCACAGAGGCTGCACCTGCGAGGAGGACGCCCCGCGAGGAGGGACCGGGGACCCGCTCTCCGCCACTCTACGACAATTGCCTCCCACTTCGCCTTCCAAGAAAACCACCAGGATGAGCAGGGGAAAAGCAGGAAAAACGAAACAGAAGGAACACCGGCCGAGGACAAGGCAGGCCGCTTGGCTGCAGCGTCCACTTAAATGGACCCTGCAAAAATCAAACTGCACCCACAGCTTCTGTTTTGCTTTTTTTCTGAGTCACATGTGGCGATGCTCAGTGATCACTCCTGGCAGGGCCTGGGTGCTGGGGATAGGACCCAGGGCAGCCACATGCAAGGCAAGAGCCCTTCTCACTACACTATCGCTCCGCGTCAGGAACAGTTTCTTAGGCCACACACAGAAGGACCCCCCAACCCCCGACTACTTTTTTGCGAAGGGCGGGAGGCACAGTGCGGGCACCCAGGGATCACTCTGGCAGTTCTCAGGAGACCATATTGGGTGCCAAGAATTGAAGGGGGTCAGCTGCACGCAAAACAAGTGCCCTCCATGTTGGACTTCTCTCTGGTCTAGGAAAGGCTCCTCTGAAACAACCGCGGGCCCAGAGACAGCCAGGGGCGAAGGGCTGCCCTACAAGCTGCATGAGCCCAGCTGAACCCTGTGTCCAGACTCCAAGGCAGCAACAGCGTCACTGATCCCTCGGGCCGGAACAGAGTGTGGCCCCGGAGCACCGCAGGGAAGTCTCAGGCGCTACAACCAACACACACATGCACTGCCATGTGTGCGGCCCCACCGCGACTCCCAAGACCACCTCGACAAAGGAAGGAACTAGGAATAGACACGTCACAAAAATGAAAGCAGATGGAAAAAAAAAAACCCTACGATCTTTATCAGAATATTCAAAAAGTACCTAGTATCGGAAAATGAAGCTGTCGTGGACATATCAGATCTGAACATAGAAAGTAAATCTCTGGGCGAGATCAGAGAGCAAGCGGGGGGTGCACGCTCGCCCGCATCCGATGTATGCCTCCATTTTAAGCTTGACTCTGGATTCTCTGGGGGTGGGGACACGCACAGGGACTCGGGCGCTGGGGGCTCAAACCAGAGCCGGCCACACGCAAGTCAGGTGCTTTAACCCCGGTGCTATCGCTAACTCTTTATTTTGGTCTAGAGATTTATTACCATCCAAATCAAGCTTCTAACAGAACTATTCTTCCAGAAGTTGAGAAGGTGACTGAATTTAACAAGGCAAAGCAAGGGCCAGAAAGAGCCACGACAATCGTGGAACACTTAGACACCGATCACTAGATTCAGAGGGTTGCAGAGCAAGCAGAGGGAGAGCCCGCAGGCGGGACGGGAAGGACAAGCTGCCACTCTGCAGAGATTTCTGGGTGAACGGAAGATCAAAACACAAACGCCCCCGTGAGGAAGTCTTTCCGCCTACGGAGCGGAAGCTAATGGGCTGGGCACCTGGGTGGGACCCGGACCGTTCCAGGAGTACCCCGAGCACTGCGCGTGGGCCAGACACCCAGAGGGGACCAGCCCAAAGGCACGTCCCTGAAAGGAAGCGGAGAGGCAGCACAGTCCTGACAGGGCCTGCCCACGCTGGCACTGACCCCTCCGGTCGCTGCTGCTGACACCGGGGAGATTCCTGCTCCAGCATCTAGGAGGGAGAGGCCAGTCCTGACTCAAGGAAGTCGCAGCGCACCCCGAGGGCCACGGGAGGCGTGGCGGGGGAAGATGCGGCCAACAGGTGCTCTCCACCTCGTCACCTTGGTCACCGTGTCCACAGTGCTGACGGGGCAGGCGGCGGGAGAGCAGGCGCGCGGGCCGCCTGTCAGGCACTGGGGGCCACACGGGCCCATCTCTGGGCCCGGCAAGGAGAGGACGCACCGACAGGCAAGAGGGGAGGCGAGGGGCGAGGGCAGCGACGTGTGAGCGTCTCGGCCTGCTCCACGCCTCGTCGCTCGGAACCCAGACTCCTCATTCCTCACACGCAGCAGCTCGCTTTCACACTTGTGGCGCGCGTGGGTGTCGCACCCACCTGCCGCTTGATGGACACCAGCTCCATGTCCAGCTGTCGGAGCACGGTGGCGGCCGCGCTGGCGTTGGCAGAGACGGCCTCCACGTCCTCCTGAGAGAGGAACATGCCTTTGGGGGGTTTCCTCTTGGCTCTGTTCTTAGCTTGTGTGCTGTGTTTCTCCTTCTTGATCTGAGGAACCGTCTCCGAAGGGGGCACCTGGACAGCACACATATTTGACGCAGAAAAGTAAACAATTCAAGTGCCCGATTGGCAGGACCAACATCGCTCCCTGCACCAGCCACCCTGGAGGCGAAAGCATCAGCCTCTGCACTCGGGTCGATACTTCAGGGCATTCCAACTCCCTCCTGGGCCAACAGGGCTCTGCACTCCCGTTTCGAGCGTCTAATAATCACATTCTCGACTTCCGAAATGAGGGACATAGGAAGGAAACCCCTGTATTCTCCTCTGGTGGGCATTGTATATACGACAAGGATGCCACTCGACCTGAATCCCACACAAATAGATGGATTTTGATCACCAAAATGAGAAAAATGATTCAGCACACGTATAAAGATCCATGTAATTCTCACACAGGGGCCAGAGTGATAGTACAGCAGAGAGGGCATCTGCCTCACACGCGGTCGATTTGGTTTGATCCCGGGCATCCCAAATGGTGCCCCCCAGCCCTGCCAGGAGTGACCCAAAAACAAAAATAATTCTTTATATTCTTTATATACTGGTCATAGAAATTTAGATTTTCAATGGGAAATATCACCATTTTGAAAGGTCACACCCGGCCGTGTTCAGGGCTTGCTCCTGACTCTACATTCGTGGGTCACTCCCGGCGGTACCTGGGGAAGCACACGGGGTGCCGGGGATCAAACCCAGGTTGGCCGCGTGCACACGGCACGCACCCTCCCTGCTCTCCTATCTCCCCAGTCCCAACAGGAAAGTGCTATTGTTTAAAGAATAATGAAAATGCTTAGGGCAGCTGTGTAACGTCAAAAAACATATCCTGTCACTTAAAAACACATGACGGGCTGGAGACAGCAGGAGTAGGCTGGAGAAGGAGCTTGTCTCACATGCAGTGGACGTGGGTTCGATTGCTGGCACCTCATATGGTTCCCCAAGCCTCACCAAGAGTGATCCCAAAGCAGAGAGTCGGGAGTAAGCCTAGCACCCCAGGGTGTGGCCCCAAAACCAACCAACCCAGAAAACTGCTTTCTCTTAAAACCACAACCTCTGGAGATGAAATGCAGTGAAATCTTGGCATCTCCCTGGCTTCCATTCTCAGAGCAAGAAGGCGTTTGCAATTGCCCATAATTTCATCTTGTAATTTGTATTTTAACATTTGTTGATAAAGCAGAAAATATGTTCACATTTTAGAAGCGTAAACCCAAGAGACCATGCCAACTAGGACGGCAAAAATACAATCTTGAACAAGATTCCAGACACCACTGGTCCGCGTCCCCCGCCAGCGAGCTCGGCTGCGCAGCACGAGGCTCGCGCCCGTCTGAGGCAGCCTGACAGGAAAGAGAAGGCACCACCACGCTCCTTCAGTCAGAGGCTGTGTGACGGGAGACTCTCAGAACTGCTATAGAGCCTTTGCCTCCCTCGCACTGTCCCTCTGGGAGCCTGCTCAGAGGCACCCTGGCCCTGCCCTTCTCCTGAAGGACACAGTGTCCTCTTGGGAAGGAGAAGGCGGCAGCGGGCACGGGCTCTGGAGAGTGGGAGGCCCCGCTGCCCTCCAGGCACTACCGAGCAACCCCCCAGCACAGCGCCACCTGCACTGCGCCCCACAGTAAAACTGACCACAAAATGTCCCATTCGGAGTTGTTCATCTTTGGAGTCTGTCTAAACACTCTTTTTTTTTTTCCAAACTCTGTTTCTGATGAAAATAGACAAACCCTCGATGTCCACCAGCCCAGAGAAACCGAACAGGAGCTGACAACATCATGGTGGGGAAGTCTAACACGAGGCCATGTGGCTCTGTGCCTGGCGTCAGCCCCCCTCCCAACAGTGGGCAACGCGAAGACAGGCAGGACCCTCAGAAGGAGAGCCCAGAGGCCCCCAGAGGCTGGAGGAAGATGATGGCTACTTAGAAAACTTCTTCAACCTCCAAAGAGTTTCTAATTTTTTTTTCTTTTTTTGGCGGGTGTGGGTAGATTTGGGCCAAACCTAAATTTGCGGGGGAGGGATACCGAGGGCACTGGTGGTGGAAAACGTGCACTGGTGGGTGGACCGGTGTTCAATTTTTGTATGACTGAACCCAAACACGAAAGCTTTGTAAGTGTAGCTCACAGTAATTCAATTAAAAAAAAAAGTCATTATGTTTATGGTGTATATGTGTGTGTTTGGGGGGGGGGGGGGGGCGCTGCGCATTCCCGGTCATGCTCAGGACTTACTCCTGGCTCTGGTGCTCAGGAATCACTCCTGGCAGTGCTTGTGGGACCGTATGTAGTGCCAGGAATCAAACCAGGGTCAGCCACGGGCAAGGCAGGTGCCTTAAGCCCTGAACGTTCTTCTCTGGCCCCTCACTGTGTCTGTTCTTAGACGCTGCCACTTAGGGGCCATAGTGCAGCAGGCAGGGCTGACTCGGTCCAGATGGTCCCTGGGTCCAGCCCGGGCTGCCCCCAGAGTGATCCCTGAGCTCAGAGAGAGCAGTTATGTCCTCCGCACCTATGGGTATGGTCCCCAAACAAAACCAAACCACAAAACCCACTTCCATTTAAAGATCAATGTATCAAAATGCAAAGTTTAAAACTGCAAGTGAAATCTGATTTCCTCAACAATCCAATTTAGCTAACCTTTAAAATAATCCTGTTATTTAACAAATCATACAAGGTGCTTGGCAGTGGTGAAATCAGAAAGAACGAACCGTTTCCAATTTAATGATTTCTGCAAAAACAAGCCTTAAAAATATATCCGGGAGGGAGGGGGCGATCAGAGAGAGAGTACGATAGCACAGTGGGGAGGGCATTGGCCTTGAATGGGCCCATCTGGTTCGGGTTCGATCCCTGGCATCCCATATGGTCCCCTGAGCACTGCCAGGAGTAATTCCTGGGCACAAAACCAGGAGCAAGCCCTGAGCACTGCTGGGTGGGACTAGACAAACCCAAACAGAAATATAATACTTAGTAAACTCTTGACTGGCCTTTGTAAACTGGCTTTTTCTCACCCCTTGTGACCCCCCTACTCCTACTCCTTGTGACCCAAAAAGCCAAAAAAAAAAAATCCCAGGCAGAGGAGGCAGCTCAAAGGACTGTAGCACACGCTCTATCTTGCAAGAGCCGAGCTAGGAGTAGCACCTGGGCACTTCTAGGCCATGGCCTTTTTTTGGTTTGTGGGTCACACCCAGTGATGCTTAGGGGTTATTCCTGACTCACACTCAGGAATCACTCCTGGGGGTGCACGGGGGACCACATGGGATGCTGGGGATCAAACCTGGGTGGGCTACATGCAAGACAAATTCCCTCCTGCACCCTCCCTGCTGTTCCATTGTTCTGGCCCTGATCACGGTCTTAAAATGAAACAACAACAAAAATAAGCAAAACAAAACTAACCCAAAACAGTCCCTAAAGTTGGGGTGTAGCTCAGTGGGAGAACACAGGGCTTACATGTGCGAGGCTTAGGCCTCGATTCCTAGTGCTGAAGGTTCTTACTTTTAAAGAACACAAAAAATGTATCCAGCACTCTCTTATGCCAACGATTCAACTACCAGAAATTAATTCTAGTGGAAAAGTAAGTTATGAGGTGTCAGCATTACAGCATTGTATGGCCTAAGAAGCAGGAAAAAAAAAATTAAACCCATGTAAGATTCATGTTTTCCCTTGGACATGCATTCATCTTTCTCTCCCCTCGCATCTGTCTCTCTAAATCTCTTTCAATAAAAACTATTTTGCGGGGGCCAGGGTGGAAAATACAGAGGGTGTTTGCCATGGACCTGGCCGACCTAGGGATTTGATCCCGACATCCCATAGCATCCCATATTGTCCCCTGAGCACCGCCAGCAGTAACCCCTGAGCATCACCAGGTGTGGTCAAAAAAGAAAAAAACAAAATCTATTTTGCTTCACTTAGAAAAACGGACCCATTGATCAAAGGTCTGTATGATGGAATAACACTATAGAGCTCTGTATACATATATATAACCAGCTGTAGTGTTTTTATTAAACAGTCACATAAGATCCCACAGAGAGAGAGAGCGCGCGTGCGTGCGAGCTTTCTGTTGAGGGCTTCATCCAGTGCTGCTTGGGGCTCTGTGCTCAGGGACATGCAGTGCTATCTGGGGTTGGCCTCTGTCCTGTCTCTGGAGCCCCACCACCAGGAGTGATCTCGACCTGTCAGGTGTGCACCCCGTACTATACTCTGCATCCCGCCCTAGGCATCAGTGCGGGGGACAGAGAAGGTCATCAGGAAAGGGTCACCCTTTAGGGAGTAGGTCAGGACACCCATCATTTTAACTTTAATTTCGTTAGCTGTATTTACTTTTTTTTTTTTTTTTTGCTTTTTGGGTCACACCTGGCAATGCACAGGGGTTACTCATGGCCCTGCACTCAAGAATAACTCCTGGCGGTGCTCAGGGGACCATATGGGTTGCTGGGAATCGAACCTGGGTCGGCCACGTGCAAGGCAAACGCCCTACCCGCTGTGCTATTGCTCCAGCCCCTGTATTTACATTTTAAAAGAAAATAACATGTACTGCTGCCATAATCTAAGTTCAGCTGTCAGCTATTCTCGTCTGTTCCACTCTTGGGAGACAGAACCCTGGGGCTGGGCTAGTGCCCAGACCTCAGCAAACCGCTGTGGGGTAATGCCCCTCAGCCCATTCTCGCTGGGACGCGCTCACGGGCACCCCGGGGAACTGCGCAGAAGGGCTATTCTGGGGGGCGCAGCTCGTGCCAGAGACCCAGACCTGATCATGGACGATTTACGATTGTTACTTATCTTTCAAAATCACAGGCAACTGCAGGGATCATGGGCCCTGTCAGTGAAACCGAGACTCAAACCTCTGCCTGATGATGACTTCCAGGGAGGAAATGTCGAGGGCAGCTTGTCCTCACGTGGTCGGAGAGGACTTGCTGTGGGCACCCCACGTCCGAGGCGGGGGGGGGGGGGGGGGGGGGGGGGGGAGGGGAGGGGAGGGCAGCCTGGAAGGAGTCCCGGAGCGCCAGAGGCGGCAGACTCTGGCGGCAGAATTCTCCCTAGAAGCGTTTTCTGACTAAGCGCCGGGGAAAGGCCCGAGGGCTGAGACTCCAGGCTCCGCAGTGCTCAGGGACGCACTTCCAGTCCCGCCTTCTACTCACGCGCTGTTCAACCCAAACGCTGGCTTTCTACACAAAGGGGGACCGCCGAGAGCCACGCCGTGACACTCGAACCGCACTTCGTATTAAGTAGAATAAGCAAGAGGAATGCTGTACTCATGAAGCAGCAGTAGTAAAATGTCTTTGTTCAAATAATACTAGGGAAAAAAATACCTCCTTTTTGCTTTCCTTGTTTTGATCAACCTCAATGTCAATGGGGTTATTTCCATTCGTTTCTTCCAGTTCATCCTCACTGGAAGACAAGAATAAGTTACTGAAAGATTAATCTGTAATGACTCCAATATACAAGTATAAGCAATAAATTCATACAAATTTAGTCTAAGTATGTCTTCAAAATACTGAAATACAAGAGTTTACATAATTCAAATACAGTAACACCAACGGCATAGTCTATCGGTCTAAACGATAAAAATACTACAAAATAGGTTTGAAACTCCTAAACCAGGTCCAGAAGACTGCGGCTTTGTATCTGTAAGCTGTTTCCCCTCAGCGAAAATATCGAACGTTTATGTTATTTCCCCATAATCATCTCCAGGAGGTGGACTGGGAACTGAGGCGTCCTCAGCCTGCACCACGTGGGAGCCGCACGCGTGGCCGAGGAGGCAGGGCTGGGCGCAGCGGGCTGGCCGGAGGAGGAGCCCCAGCACAGACACGCAGCAGAGGGAGGTCCCGTGGGTGTGCGGGCCTGGTCCAAGCTCTTCCTGCGAAGACCACCACCAAAGCCACCCCCGGAAGCGTGGCGACACAGGCAAGGTCTCCCGAGGCCGGCACGCTGTGCTCAAGGCCTCTCTCCAGGTAGCTGACGACCACTGGCGACGGAGGGCTGGGGAAGCACCGACCCCGCCTGTCTCCACCCAAGTTCCACTTAGTGGACTGTTCCGGTTGGTGGGAACCGGCTCATTTACAAACAGGACACGAGCCCTAACAGGATGCACATAGGAAACCTGAATCAGCAGTTTCCACGGCAGGCTCGTGTGTGCCTCGTGTTCGGTTAGCAAGGTACTGATCCATAAACAGAGCCGGCGGCGTGCGTGCGGCAAGCTGAGAGACGCAGATGGATCAAGGTCAATTAACTCAGACTCTTGCTGCTGGGAGAGCTCGGGAAAGCTTCGCAGAACCATTCAGTTTCCCTGTGACACCAGAGGATCTGGTTCTCCCGGGGTGATACTCGGCGGAACCTGCCTGAGGCAATGCCACGGAGACAGACGCAGCTCACCCTTCTCCCCATGCTGTGTATGGATACCACACACCCGCACACACTCACACGACTCTTAAACTACAAACAACCCAAAGGCATGACCAGTGTACTGCTTTCTAGCATCTTCGTTTTCGTGTTGAGGAAGCTAAAGCCAGTGGACGGTGCGAAACGGGGTGAGAGTGAGCTCTGCAGTGAGCACCAGCTGGCCCAGCAGAGTGGAGACGCGTGTCCTGGGACTGAGTGCCCGGCCAGCCCCTCGTGGTGTCAAAATTAAGGCCTGGAAAAGAGGCTAAGAGGTGTCCTATTCGCTGAGCTAAATCTTCAGACTGGCATCCTTATTAAAAAACCATCACACATGTCTCCAGGCGTATCGACAAAAGGGAAAAGCGAACAAGGGAAGGAACAAGAAAATGGCACCCGGTGGTCAGAGCACTGATTCCCAGCAGCCCACGTGGTGCCCGAGTCCGGCTAGGAGTCACCCCTGAGCACAGTGGGTTGTGGCGCAAAAATCCAACAAAACACGAAACCTCTCTGGGGTGAGAGACTGTCGGGAAGTGAAGGAACATGCCTGCCTGTGCCACACCCTGGGGTTCGAGCCCCGGCACCACATGGCCCCGAGGATCACCGGGAGCGCGGGCCCTGCTGGGGAGGCACAGGGAGTCCCTGGCACCACAGGCAGCAGCACGGCCAGGACATCCGGTCTCTGGGTATCCCGAGGGAGACCCGAAGTAAGAACAAAAGCCTGGACCTCTAGCACAAACTGCACAGCACGCGGGGAAGGACCCTCCCTGGGCACGAGGCCAAAGCGCAGCACACGCTCCCTGGGATCACACGGTCCCTGGAGCACAGCTTTGGGGTCCTGGTGCTCTGGGCCCAGGTGTGGAGCCATGCCGCAAGCTCAGCCAAGCACAAAGGGTGCGGCTCTGGGTTATGAGCACTGCTTGAGAGCATCCCCCGAGAAAAAAGGAACCCCCTTAAAGGGCATGAAAAAGGGGGGGTAGAGACAGCACAGGGGCAGGGCGCTTGCCTTGCATGTGCCCACCCAATGTGGCCACTACATGGCCAATCCCAGCCCCATATAGGGAGCCCTGAGCGCCCCCCAGGAGTGAGCCCTGAGGGCCACCGAGTGTAGACAGAGACCAAGGAGCCTTGAGCACCATCAGGTGTGGCCCCCAAACAAAACAAACCATCAAATGTTGCTTCCCGGTTCAGAACAGAAGTCAGAACAGAAATTTAACGAAGTTTCTGTTAAAATGGGGGCCAGTCCGGCAGTGCGGGGGCTCCTGGCCTCGTGCAGAGCCCCACACTGCAGCTCCCTCCCTGCCCCCAGGCGGATCCACCAGCCCCGAGAAACTTCTGGGGCCTCAAAGGGAGTGGCGAGGACGCCCCGGCGAGACTGACCTTTCCTCCCGCTCCCGCTTCTGTTTCCGAGCATGGCGGTCCATCACGCTGGTTTTAGTTCTCGTCTTCTTCCAAGAGTAGTAAAACTTCACCAGACTTGCTATTGATTTATCAGGGAGCTAAACATTAAAAGTGGCTGGTTTAGACTTAAAGCAAATTCTGAAAAATTCAGTTGTTTCGATACATTTAATAAGGATCTCTCTCCCATACTTGGAAACGCTTGGAGTCACACGTCATTTCCTCTAAGCGAAAAACCGACAAAACACGTTTTCAAATTAGGCAGGTTTTGGTGGTCAGTGACTCGGAGCTCGTGAAACGCTGGACCGTGGATTAAAGGTGCTTCCCACATACGTAAAGCCCCAAGAGACCAGGGACTCAGCAGCCGAGCACACGCTTGGCACGCGTGAAGCTCTAAGTTCTACCCTCAGCACCCCAAAACGCAATTAAGAGCCTCAACAGTAACGTGAGCATCGCGGAGGCTGTCCGTGAAGGGACGAAGCTGTGCAATTCACCCCTGGGAAGCCTGGGCTCAGGATGCCGCACCCTGACTGGAGCGACTGGGGCCCAAGAGAAACTGGGGTGAGTGGGAAAGGGCCTGGGCCACAGCTGTCAGGGGCAGAGTAGGGGGGAAGCCCTCCCCCAAAGGCCGAGGCCCAAGGAGGCTTCTCGGAGTAGCGAGCAGACAGCAGCCCTCTCCCTCCAGTCCGGAGACAGGGGACCGACTGTCTACTCACCATCTGCTGGATCCGATGGAAAGTCTTCCCGTGGAAGCTGAAGGCCTGCTCGAACAAGACCTTATCCTCCACCGTCCACTCGTCTGGGAAGGGGGTGAAGTTGGGCAGATCCGCCAGGGACTTCTCAATATTATGCTTGTGCCAAAAGAGCATCCCGAGAGCCTAGGGGAGGGCAATGAGTGAGAGCGTGCAGAGAGGCTGGAGGGAGCGCCTCGCACCCAAGCACGAGTCACCCGAGAGGAGGGCCTGGGGCAGAGGGAGGCCCGGCCTCGAGCTGCGCAAGGAGCACCGGGACCGCGGCCCTGGAGGCCACCCAGCCCGACTCACAGCTCTTTCTTCGTGTTTTATTTTTTTATTTCTATTTTTTTGTTTTGTTTTGTTTTGGGGTCACACCCAGCGATGCTCAGAGATTTCTCCTGGCTCTGCACTCAGGAATTACTCCTGGCAGTGCTGGGGGACCATAATGACATGCAGCGGATTGAACTCGGGTCAGCCGAGTGCAAGGCAAACGCCCTCCCCGCTGTACTATCATTCTGGCCCCTTCGTGTTTTATTTTACGGCCTCCAAAGTGATGCTCAGGAGGTCTGGGGGCCCCACCATGATGGCTGGTAAACCAGCAAGGGCCTGAGGACACTGCTCTGGCCCTGGGGTGCTGGGGATGACACCCAGGCCGCCCCAGGTGCTCTGGAGGTGCTAAAGACCAAAAGCTGGGCAGTCCGTGCGATAGCCAAATAAAGACCCGGTTCCTGATTTTGTTATTCCTTTCCTCAAAAACCTCAACAAGCTTCTCAGTTAAGTCAGGGAAAAAAAATTACAGACAGGTAAGGAACAGGTTAGAATGAGAGAAATAAGGAGTATTTTTCCCCAAAAGAATTTACTATATTAGGGGCTGGAGAGATAGCAAGGGATAGGGCTTTTGCCTTGCTCGCGGCCGACCCGGGTTCAATTCTCAGCATCCCATATGGTCCCCTGAGTACCGCCAGGAGTAACTCCTGAGTGCAGAGTCAGGAGCAATCCCTGTGCATCGCCAGGTGTGACCCAAAAAGCCAAAAAAAAAAAAATTTACTGTATTACAATCCTAAGTAAAAACACTCACTTTTGGAGAACAGATTCCTTGAAAATTCATGCAAATATATTCAGCAATCACCAATAATACTCATACTTTCTAAACAGTAACACGGATGCTTTTCTGAGCAGCTGTGCAAAGTTCATGAACAGTGTTTGAAAAACCGAAGAGCAAGCGCTTCTTGCTTCCAATTATTTGGCACTATCTTAGCTCGGCATTTCTGACAACTGAACAGCAGTCAAATAATTCCACAGGAAGTCCAGGGTCCACAGCAATGCCCACAGAAAGGGCTGGAGAGACAGTACAGAGGTGGGGGGTCTGCCTTGCACGCAGCCAGCCCGGGTTCCATCCCTAGCACCCCGCATGGTCCCTGAGTACATAGCCAGAAGTAAGCCCTGAGGACTGCCTGGTGTGGCTCAAACCACCTCCCTCACGCCTCAAAAAGTCCACAGCATCTGAATGAGGGGTGAGCCTCAGGCATCAGGACAGAGGAGGAAGACGCCCACAGGCGGTACATGCCACTTCTACGTTTGAAGAGCACCAATCTGACAGTGCTGGCAGTGCTGGAGGGATAGTCTGTGGTGCCAGGGATGGAACTGGGACCTGAAATGCCACACCCCTGTACTGTCCTCTGACCTGTTTTTGTAGGCATTCAAATTAAGGCTGAAATACAACTATGGAGAAAAATCTCTGATTGATCCCCAAGGATAGATCTGAGCAAGGTCTGTGGAGGAGTCCCTGGTGACTCTGGGCCAAGAGGAGGTGGGGCCATACAGGGCCGAGCCCACACGGGCACATGCCAGACATGTGTCCTAACTGCTGTGCCATTTCTGGTCCCGCCAAACAATCTTTGTTTGTTTTGGGGCCATACCCAGCAGGACTCGGGGGTTACTCCTGGCTCAGTGCTCAGGACTCACTCCCGGCAGGCTCAGGGGGACCAATGGGGTCCCGAGGATCGAACCTGGGCCAGCCGACTGCAAGGCAAGCACCTACACGCTGTCCTACTGCTCTGCTCTGGCTCCTCCAAATGGTCATGTTTTGGTGGCTGTTTAGAATCACAGCCAGCGGTGCCTAAGGGCGACCCTTGGCAGGACAGCAGGCAGCAGGGAAATCAAATTTTGCTGGAAACCAAATCGGGGTCGGCTGCATGTAATGCAAGGAAAACCCGAGTCAGTTTATGAGTTCAAAGTTCCACAAAACAAAATTAACAATAAAAGACTATAGGCATGAGTGTGTTGATGAGTCACAAACCCACAAAATCAGAAGAATAACACACACTTGAACAAAAGCCTCTGGCCGGCTGAGTGTCCAGCATGCTGAAGAGCTGTCCAGTCCACAGACGCTGTGCCAACTAAAGGCACCTGACAGCGCAAGCAGTGGAAGGGACGGAGCCTCCAACGAACAGTCCCGTCAGGAAGCCTTCAAACTGTTTAGGACCGAGTTAGCCACTGAAACCCATTTTTTTTTCTTTTTGGGTCACACCTGGCAATGCACAGGGGTTACTCCTGGCTCTGCACTCAGGAGTTACTCCTGGCGGTGCTCAGGGGACCATATGGGATGCTGGGAATCGAACCCGTGTTGGCTGCGTGCAAGGCAAACGCCCTACCTGCTGTGTTATCTCTCCAGCCCCTTGAAACCCATTTTAAAGATAACCAAACCAGGAGTGAAGAGACAGAACTCGGGTAGGGCACATGCCTGGCACACAGACAACCTGGTCTGATCTCTGACACCCGAAACAATCCCCTGAGCCCTTCCAAAGGTGATTCCCGAGCACAGAGCCAGGAGCAAGCCCTGAGCACTGCTGGGTGTGGCCCAAAACAAAATTTCAAAAAGAAAAAAAGAAAATCATGCAATTACCTGTTCCATGTTGTACCCGTGCTTCTCCTTCGCGATGGCGATGTACTCATCCACTGAAAGACAAGACACGGGCATGGATCGCAGAGAGCACGGAGCCTGAAGGCCAACGCTACTGTGTGTGCATCTATTGGTATACATGGATGGATATACGCGTACCTATCTATTTTTCAGGTTTCTTCCGCCCAAAAATAATCAAAGGAGAGTAGCAGAAGCACCTCTGGAGCCCATCAGGACCTGCACATCCCGTCTACCAGGGCTGCCACCCGGCCAAGCTGAACCTCAGGGCACGAGGCCGGTCTGCGCGACAGCCCCCTCCCGCAGCCCCTGCAGTCTCGCACACTCAGGCCTCACTGAGAAAACGCTCAAGATACATAATCAAGTTAAGAAAATCCTTTTGAGGCAGAGGTAAAACTCCCCCTTGCCTTCCTTCTCTGGCCCGTGGTCCCCGTCAGTGGCCGGACAGAGTGCTCGGCTGCGCAGGGCAGGGAGTCCTCACTCTGCCACCCATTCCAGTCCATTACGCAGCCACTCTCTTAAGCCGAAGTAGGAAAAAGAAAAATCAACTCTGAAAAAAAATTCAAATTCTTTCATCTGCATGACTTCTAATACTAGAAAGAAAAGTTCTCCACTGATAGTCTAAATCAGTAACTATATGTAACATGACACTTTACTTTTCTAGTTCCTTTTTTTTTTAAACCATCTCTGTTTTGTTCCTTTGGGAGGGCAACCCCCAGCAGTGCTCAGGGCTTGGGCCCATATAGGAGCTGGGGACGGAACAGCAGGTCGTGCGAAGCAAGCGCCCTCCCTGCTGTACTTTGTTGCTCCAGCCCTAACTTTTAGAACCATTTAAAGCCCGGAGACCCTGAGCACAGGCCTGGCCTGGCTCAACAGGACTCAAAGTCCCTTTGTTTTCTGGGAGGCAGCTCTTATGAACCAGGAAGTCATGGGATCAGGGATGGGAGTCCCTGGGTTCAGCCCCCAGCACTGCAAACAAATCTCATTCCAACTCTCCCACGCTAGCAAAAGGCAAATTCGATGACCTTAGTTTGTCAAAGGCGACCTAAAACGGGGCCCTCACTGGTCACTCCAGCACAGCGTGCTGTCCCCACTCGGGAGGGAGGAGTCCCCAGGCCCTGCCCTCTGCTACCCGCTGTGGCGTGACCTGCAGGGGCACTGGGAGGCCGGGAGGCTGGGGTTTGCGGGTCGGAGGGAAGAACGAGGGAAAGAGTCCTTGAGCAACACCTACAGAAACATTTGGTGAAGGGACAGTCTAGAACCTTCTGACAGGTTCTGAGCAGCCTCAGCTCTGCAGACATCGTGGCCTTCTGCACTGGGTCCTATATAGGACGTGGACAGGGCGAAGCACTGGGGGGGTGCCCCCCCCCACTGTCCTGGCCTGCATCTGATCCGCCCCTGCAGAACGGGCCTGCCCAGGGTGTCTCCCAGCACCTGACTGCAGTCGGGGCGGGCAGCAGAGACGCCTTCCACACAGCTGACTTAGGTCCCAGCCCAGGTACCACACACGGACCGTCCCCACCCCAAGCACCAAGCGCAGAGAAAGAGCAGACAGAGGGACAGTGGCAGTCAGGAAGCGGCAAGGAGAGTAAGGGCGGGGCGTTCTGGCATTCTTGGGTGCTGCTCCATTCCACCTGCTCCCCGCCCTTCCAGGTCGTGGCAGCTGACACAATTGTATTTTCAGCAGTACAATGTATAATTTCACACTTTCTTTTTCTTTTCAGCAGACAAGTTGGCTCAAGGCAGCAACAGTAAGTAAAACATCCCTGCGACGTAGCCAAGGGCAGTTCTATCACTAGCTCTACTGTCCCCAACAGGTTTGTTTTTATTTTGGTGCAGTGGTCCTGAAAGCAAATCACTTAGCTTTTAGATTTTCTTGGAGCTTACCACAGGATGCAAATTTATAGCAAAGAAAGAAAAAATTCTCATAGTTACATAAATAAATGAAGTCACCTGAGCAGGTGAAGGAACAACTTAATAAAAATGTTGAGAATTCCTGTCTGATGCCACCACCAACAATCGAACTTTTCACTCATTTCATACCCGACCGCCCAGAAGGGATCAGCGCCATGCTGTCCGTCCTGGGGCGCCGTGATGCAGGAACCTGAGCTAGGACAGGCCAAGGCAGACCGACCAGCAGAGCTCAGCGGTCATCTGCTCCCATGTGATGCTGTCACCTCTGGCCCACGCCTCACGCGCTCACAGCAGGCTGCATCCCTTCCTGGTTCTGACCCTCAGCGCTACTCCCCAGGGAAAGTTTCTCAGCCCCACTCCGTCCTCCCTGCGGTTGACTCCGTGCTACCGGCAGAACGTGCTGAAAAGCACGGAGCGCATTTTTTCAAGCCTCTCGAGGAACTTCCAGAAAGAGACACAAACAAACCACTTTCAACCTAAGAAAAGAAAATCCACTTCCAAACGCACTCATAAAAATAAATTATTTCGGTTTTGCTTGGGCACAGGGGTTGTGATGGACACATTCGAAATACGGTGATGGGGAGGGGTGACGGTGGTGGGATGGTGTCGAATATTAAATGTAACCAAATACTGTGAGCTACTTTATGGCCCAGGTTCGATTCCCAGGACTCCAAATGGCCCCTTGAACCCACCAGGAGTGAGTCCTAAGCATCAGTGGGTGTAGCCCAAACTAGCCCTCCCCCCAACAAAAAGGAAGGGCTGAAGAGAAATGAGCTCTGACCATCTGCTGCAACAGTAATCCTACAGTAATCTCAGGTTTGCCTCTGAACAGTTAAAGGTTAACCAGCTGACCCTAGTCTTGGGGAGAAAAGCCGATGCGGGCAGCGTGTTAGAAAGCTGCGATCAGGAAGGGGAGCGAAGTCCAGGGGCCCTCAGAAGACGCCGCAACACTGCCACGGGCCTGGGAGTCTTCCCCCAAATGGGACTGGGAGGGCATCTGGGGTACACCCGGGTCCAAATGACACTGAGCAGTCACGGGGCATCTGCTTGACCCGCCCCCTGTAGAAGCAACATCGGTGAGAACCGAAACAATCCAAGTTCCAATGGACAACTTCGAAGTGCTTAATCTTCAACTGGGATAGGTGAAGAGAGCATGGCGCAGACTCCATACACCACAGGAACAGCACGGGAAGGCAGAACGTGTAAGACCCTACACCTTACAGACCCCCAAACCTGCCTAATCACGTCTTCAGTTATGCATACAGCTGCAGCTCACATACAGATGAAAAACACACTCATTTTGCCCCCAGAGAAGCGAGAAGCAAAGAAGAGAATATCCAAGCCACAGTGTGGGGTGCAGAGCGGGGGACCCGGCAATCAGGAGGGGTAATGAGAAGGAAGAAGAGCTTTGGACTCAAGCTGGAAGCGTCAGAAGGCGCTGAGCCCGTGGGCACCGTGGGATGCTCTTCCCGAGGGTGGACCCCAGTCAGCAGTCACTCCTGCTCACAAGTGAAGAAACTGGGGGAGGTACTGAAGAGGAGACACGGTTTACCCCACGATGGATAAACAGTGGAAAAGGAGCCTGTAAAGAGTGTGACCAAGCCCAGGGCATGAAACTCCAGGGTCTCTTATATGTGGAAGGAGGCAGATGGGCAGTGCAGAGGAGAACAGCCTCCTCCTCGAGCAGAGAAGGACAAGGCAAACCCACTGACCCAGCGTAGGGGAGTTGAGGACGCTAAAGCTGCGTTAGTGTCCAGGAACCAGATGCCCTTCTAGCACTCTGGAGTCTCAGATTCACCGCATAGAGGAGGGATGCAGATGAGAAGGGCTCAGTAACCTTAACTTCCCCTTCCCTCCCCCGAGATACTGCAGTGATTCAAAACACCTTGTAATCGTGCATGTTCTATGCAGAGCAAGAGGCTGACACTGTAAGGTGGGTTGAGGACAAAGCGACAGTCAGAATATGGCTTTTAAAATACCTCATAACATTTGCAGTAGCATTAGGTACTGCGAAGGAAACACGGCACCAATTTCTCTCTCATAACTCCAACTCAGCAGGCCACAAATTTTTGTTCTAGAACATGATAAATATCATGGCCTCGCCTTTTATTATTAAAAAAATGATGTCTTTGATTCATGGAGAACTGAAATAAGCCCACGTTGAGTTAAGCAATCCTGCCACCTGGTGGGCACGCACATTACTGCAGCTACGAGAGGGGATGAAGGCGGGAGGCCCAGGGAAGCCGGACTTTGCAAGGGTCAACTATAATGAAGCAGAGCTTCCTAGTCAGGAGTGAAATGTGGCTTATTGGGAGAAATTCGATTTCTTCATGTGGTTTTGCACAAAGTCCCCTTTCTAGCAATGCCAACATCTGCTTCCCTGGTACTCCGGTAAGTACTACAGGCGCCCAGCCAAGAGCACCGGAGGCGGCACTGCGCGTGAGAGCACTCGTTTACCTTCTGGGCCTGGAGGTAACCTAAGGCGCCTCTCCGCCCCAGCACAACTGCACTCTAAGTTCTACCCCGGAAGAATCTGAGCCTCAGGGTGCTTAAAATTTAAATTTAACATTTAAAGTTTGACCTATTAATAAAAGACGAAAGAATGATAAAGGAGTGAGGAAGATGCCTCAAGGGCTGAGACCTGCGCTAGGAGCGCCCACATTTCCCCTAAGCACTTCCGGGAGTCCCCAAGCAATGCTAGGTATAGTTCCCCAAACCAAAAGCCCCACAAAAAGGCGGTGGGGGTAAGATAAAGCCTTCTGGCTTTCTACAGCACTCAGAGAGTTCTGTGTCCAATCTCCCTTACTTAGGGTGATCAGAGGCCCGGGAGCAGCTGGGCAGGGAAAGTGGCTTCTGAAAAGCTAAAGGTTCGATCCCCGGTGCCGCCTACGGATGCGGAAGGGCGGTCCCTGCAGCTCTGCTGTCTGGGTCCCCTGGCGGCACAGTTCATCTCTGGCACGCAGCTAGCTGTGTGTGAGTGCCGGTTATGGAAATGAAGCCCTGTGAACACGGGGGCCAGGTGTGTGACTCCCAGGGCACCACGACCAGAGTGTGCAGGGTCCAGCAACAGCAAACACGGGGATGCAGTTTACAACCACCACAACCTGCACTGTGTTCAAGCCCC